TCATGAGGTTTCACAAAGTGAAATTCAGGAGATGAAGCTGCACGTCTCTAAGGCTTGGGTTTGAATTGCTGCAAAGCTTAATTGGGCTGTCTGGCAACTCAGCAAAAGTTTCTGTCCTTAAAATCTGAAGTCAATTAGTTCTTATACAGTTACTTTAAGGATGTCTTGACAAAGATATGTGAGCCCATTTGTTATTAAGTGGTTACATCTGTGTATGTAATTGCAGTAAAAGCATTTTCCTGAAGCACTCCCCAAGGCCGTGATGCACGTGCCCCATTGCTTTGCACCCGATCACAGCAGCAAAACTGTCCAAACATCTCCATATCACCTGCTCTTCCTATCTGCACAGCCTCAGGGACTTGGGGGTTCCTGCCTGTGCTGGGAATGACAAGAAAACTCCTTTGCAACTGCTGTTTGACCTGAGACCTCTAACATTGCCTCTTTCAAACGGGCATTTATTCAAAGGAGCTAATTCCATCCTCATTTCTTGACCTGCTTTTCCATATTTAAGTTTTATTAATCCTTCTATAAACTCATTTTCTTTTTTTCCCTTTTCTTTACCTCTGTTTACTATATATCCTTCCATCCAAAATGCTGTCTGCTTCTTCAGTGCTGCTTATTTGCAGGGAGACGGGATAAGGAGTCTCTGTGGACCCTCGCTAAAGATACATGATTGCAATAGGTGCATTTCAGCCGCTAAAATATGAGGATGATTTTTGCTGAAATCCACACTAGAGGATTGGGCAGGTTTTGTACCGTACGCGGTGACCCACTTTGCAGACGTATTTCTGTGCGACACATTCCGCAGTTCGCCGTGCGGCCCGTTCCGGCTGTGATGGTCGTGGCTGGCGCGGGTGGCAGCTGGCACTAACGTGTGCCCGGGCTGTCATGGGGTGCTCGTGCTCATCCTGGGGAGCTACCGGAGCGTCTCCCCCAGCTGCCGCCCGGAGCGTGCGACCCTCTGGGTGCTCCGAGCAAGGATCATTTTCCTCTCTCTGTTGCTCTTGGCTTCGTGATTTTGTCTGTCCCCTTTCAGGTTCCTCTTTCCTTGTAGAATTCCCCAGTAGGTTCCCTCTTTATATATAAGTACTTAATTACCATTTCCTACATTTTTTGTTCTACTTAGAAGAGAGGCAGGTGAGATTTTCTTTTTTGCTTAGGTCTTTTGTTGTTGTTGTTGGGGAAACTCCTGTGACCTTTGTGGTTTGTTGTCTTCCTATACTCTAATTCTGAAATTCCTATATGAGCTCTTTTATTTTCTCTTTGAGAACCACTTCCCCTTTTCTCCTCCTCTAAGGTTGCCCCTCCTGAGGTTTTGCAGTTGAAGTTGTCCTGGGTCAGACACACCTAAGAGAAAAGAGTATATTAAGTGTCTTTATTTAGTATCTCTGAGAGTTTATCCTCAGAAGAGGTATGATTAGCCAGCCTGTCCTTTTCTGGGAAGGTTAAAAAAATCAGGAAAAAAGAAAATCAAAAAATTAGAGTAATTTCTAGAGAAATTACTAGGTTTCTGGAAAGTCAAGATTCAGTGCCTCCCCCACCTGCTCACCCTCCCTGGGCCTCTGAGACCTGTGGGCAACTTGGGAGCAGGCTTATCCTGAAGGAAAACTCCCATTTTAGAGCCCCTAGAGAGGACTGGGCTGATGAGACCGTCTAATCTAAGATGCTGAAACTGAAAGATAATCTCACTTCATTTTGGGCAGACTTTAGCCTTGGTCTAGCATCTCTAGCCTTGGTCTAGAGCCAGTGAGAAGCTAAGGACCTTTGGATCTGCTTGGAGGGACCCATGTTGCTGGCTAAGAAGGCATGCTCGTTAGCCAAGCCTTCATTTAGAGCTCTGCCCCTCGGGGTGTCTCCCATGCTATGGATGGCTTGGGAAACCTGCAGAGATCCAGCAGTGCCAAGGCCCAGCTCCTTGTCTTGGTCACCCTGGCATGGAAGGGGTTGTTGTCTCCTCTGCGGCCAAGTCAAGGCTGCAAGACTCAGTGCTCCCTCGGGATGTGCGAGGGGCAGCGGAGGTCTTCCTCTTCGAGATCAGTCCTGTTAATCTCTGAATAGCAAAAGAGAGATACAAAATCCGCAGGATACTGCTTTTTTCTTTGGCAGTCAGCTGATCTTGCACTACAGGCTGATGGAATATATTTATAATGAATTCAAAGTTGTGATCTGGGGGTATATTAGGACTGGAGAGTTTCCAAGTGGGAATTGTTATCAGCGATGTAAGTGAGAACATCCCCATCACAGATACATGCCATTACAGACAGTCTTTTTTAGTACTGAGGCTGGGTTACCGTGTCCATTGTGATTCCTCCTCTGCCCACTGACTAAATGAGTTACAAGCATCAAGATCACAGTAAGGGCAGTGGGACCCAGCCCTCCTGCCAGCACCCTGAGACGGCGGCATGGAGGTGATACCTGCTCTTCTTCTTGATGAAGTGCCAGAGAAAGCAAATGATAGGATCAAAGGAGGAAACAGGAAAATAAGGTTTTCTACTTCAGCCCTGGTGATGATCTGTAGGCAGAGCTTTTGCTTTCCCAAACTTTGCAGTCTGTACAGAGGTAAAGGTGCCCAGGAGGACTGTCAGTTTAAACAGCCCTAAAGCACTGTCATTTTAAAAGCCCTGTTCCTTAAGTTCTTGAGTAAAAAGAGCTTTGGGCAGCTTGTGAAACCAGGCACCTTCTGCGCTGGCTCACCTATGTCGGACACGGGGATTTCTTCCGAGAGCACTTTGCGACGCCAGCAGACCCACCACACCGCGGAGGGCCGAGGTTACGGAGCTGAGTAGTGTTAATGGGAACCTGAAAGTGCTTTGAAAAACATTTCTGTTCCTTACAACCTTGTTTTGCTCTTGTGTACTAAACCTGACCCCCAGCCTCCAAAGGCCTGGTGCTGCGTGACGCGCTCGGCAGACACGGCCCTGCCGTGCGGCGACGCTCGCAGCAGTCACGCGCGGCCGGAGGACCGGCCGGGCCTCATGGCAGTGAGGTCATCCAGGGAAAAGTGACGCCGCTCTTTTATGTTTGAGTAGTCGCTCGCCCTCTGGAAAGACAAACTACAGTGGCCAGAGAGGAGGAATGCTTGTGCCAGCCAGGTTTCCCTGGGCTGTGTGGAGGTGGTGCCATCTGTCCCCAGCCCCTGGACTTGTCCTCCGAAGCGGGAGCCGTTCTGCACGTGCAGAGGGCCAGGTGTTTAACAGCAGTAATAACGAACCTGCAGTCAGCTACTGTCATGGTATTTTCCAAGGCAGGAATAACCAGTTGTCACCGGCAGTGCCTGCGCAGACCCATGAAGAGAAACTTGGCTGCTGTGAGGGGCGGTCCGTGTCTGAAACAAGCTCAAATAACTGAATTTCATTGCTTTGAATTTTTTTGGTTAGTCCTAAAAGATTCTCCCATGATCTATAGAAAGAACAGAGGCTTTTTCAAGTGTAGGACAGCCAAAGATCTTACCAGGGAGTCACGCAGGGCTGGCGAGGAGCAGGGCTGGCATTTGTCGTGGGGAGAAAATGCCCATGGGAACCCATGGCCCAGTTAGATCCAAGTCATGGTCTCCTGGAAAGATCAGTAGCCACGGCTTTTCCAGAGAGCTAATGCAGGACGGAATTGAAAAACCTGTTTAATTTAAATCCATAACATACATCTGATTCAGTGCAGGTGCTGGGAGTTACAGTGTGCCAATTAGAGAAATTCAGCTGAGACATTAACTTAGATGTGCTGTCAAAAGATCAGCTTTCAAACACACTTTTATAAAAATTGCCTAAAAGGCAGCAAATGAGAATTCTACAGTCCATTCCCGAAGCTGCTAGGCAAAGTCTGTAAAAATAAAAGGATTGTGTGTATATGGGGAAAAACACCTTGGGTGTCTCTGTGCTGCACAGCCACCCAGTGAAGGGGCAGTGCAAGACGTGCGCTGTGACTAAGGTCTCATTAATGGAGGTGTTCCCGTAATCAGAGGTGCTGCAAAATCTCTGCCTCCTTTGCATGTAAATTAGGGCTTTAAGGATATTTTGTTTACTTGGCTTTCTGCTTGGAATTTGCTACCTTATAGCATATGTAAGTCACACTTTAACTGAAAGGATACAATTAACTGAGACTCTTTTTCCATGTCGGGACAACAGAATTTCCAGAATACAAAAGGAGTATTCATTTATATTAGAAATGTTACTTTGTGGTAACACATGAGATTTTAAATTGCTGACCTCCTAGGAATATGTCATTCTGACAAAGCAGGCTGCACACCAAGAGAGAAGATAAAGAACCTGTTTATAAACTGTGCTACTTTAAAATTATTTGCAAGAAAATGGTTATACTTTCAGCTTTTTCAAATCATTGGAACATTTATTAATTTTAAATTTGCTATGGCTTATCTATGTAGGAGTTATCATTTGGGTCTCTTCAAACTATGCCAATACTAAAAGCTTAACTAGATATTATGACATTAGATTTTTATCTATTTTATTTTACATTGATTTTGCTCATAGAATCTCTAAGGTACTTGCAGAGGGGGATAGATTTCCAGGAAGTGATAGGCACTTGCTTTTCGAACCCTTTTCTTAAAGGTATTTTGGACTGAAAAGTGAAATCAATGATCTCTCTTAGAAGTGTCAGCCTCTGCGATTCTGGAACCTGGTTAGATGAGCAGAAAAATGAGCTCAGAAGTCCTTTAATCATAGACTGTTGCCTTCAAATACTTCTTAAAACACTAGTCAAGCTTGCTCACATTTTTTTAATGAACATAATTACAAGCTAATGAGCAAGTGCAATTCTCATGAAAAGGTTATCTGCAACTTTCAACAAATATGTCGAAAAGCTGATAGTGAATTCTTCTTTGGCTGGATTCACTAGATAAGTAGTAAAGGATTTTTATTGCATATAGTACTGCAATTAAATATGAAATTCTAACCAGGATGAGCCCTAGAAATGAGTGGGACTAATTTATGGGGTTTTGATCTGTCCCAGTGTCAATCAGTAGCGATGTTCTGTGAACAGGTTTCACTCTGGCTGCCTGAAGGTTAATGCGTGCTCGGTAGGCAGCCAGGAGTCCTTAGAATGGAAAATTGCCAATACACCTTCAGTGGGACATTGCACAGAGCTTTTATTTTTTCAGTCCAGTAACATGAAAGCTGAAAGGAGAATGTACAAACTTCGAGTAATTTTAGTCAGCAGTAAAATGCGGCTTGTGCTTGTTCAGAGCTGACAGCTTCCCAAGTGAGAGGGAGACACTGATGATTATCCGCTGAAGGAGTTAGAATTGTTTTGAATTTGATTGATGTAGCGCATAATTTTCTTGTAAATCAGATTATATTTGGCTGCTTACAAATATCCGGAAATTTTTCCTCAAGTGCACTCACAAAGGACACTGTGAGTGTGTTTGTGTGTGGATTATAAACATGCCTCTGATTTAGCTGTGAACTGTCAGCTGGAAACACTGGTTTGAACTGAACTGATACTTTTCTTTAGCTTGCAATTTGGCAGAGATATTTAATTATTCAACAGATAAATGTGATATGTATTATGTATAGGATAGACAATCCAAAGATGCTCATTTTGTGACAAGGCTTTGGGGTATTTATGGTGATGACTCTCAGCATTTTATATATATTAAAATCCATTTGCCTTCTTTTGGTGAAGCCCTGAGCTGTTGACAAAAACAGAAGTTTCTCAGCAGATTTCACCGAGTGCTGGAATTTCACCCACGGGAGGTAATTGCTTCCCAAGGCTCCGGTTTTGTCCTGGCGCAGGGAGCTGCGGAGGGGCTCGCACTGCACCGGGGCTCCCACTCCCCTGCAGCTGTGTTGTTTGCACAACGCAACAGATTATCCTCAGCTCTTTGTTTCTCTTGCTTTTCGCAGCCCATTTCACACTGTAAATGTAAATGTTGTGCAGGGACTTCAGAGTTTGCTTTACGAGTGTATAGGATGAGGCACAGCCCTCACTCCCGATTTGTAATTAGTACCTGTAGGAAATGGGTGACGTTAAATAATAACTTGGTGCTGGAAATGCTTAGGACCTTTAATTGCTCTGTTTCGCTGTGGCTTTTGGAAGTCGCTGAACTATGTCCTGCTGTGCCCTCTGTGACTGTTGGGTCCCAGAGCCTGGCTTGTTCATCTCCCTGGGACTTGCAAAATCCTCAAGTGCCGTTTGGGAAATTCCTCGAGCCGTCAGGAGGAGGAGACCTGCAGCGCGGCATCCCTTTCCCCTCAAGGACTTGGCTGTCCCTCGCCTGCTCTCTATCTCCTCCTCCATGTGCAGAGCAGCTCTGGGCTCTGGGGTGCTCTGACTTCCTCCCCAGGCGGCAGCACCGGGTGCCAACGGTGCGGGGCTGCCGCAGCGGTGCCAGCGGCGGGTGCAGGGCACGGTGTGGTGCAGCTGCAGGGCCAGTGTCTCCTGGGCACACGCCTGGTGTCTGCTGGACCCGCTGCGGGTTTGTAGCCTTGCTGTGTCTCTGTTACAGGGTTCCGTAACCTGCACGTGGACGACCAGATGTCCATAATCCAGTACTCTTGGATGGGTCTTATGGTTTTTGCCATGGGGTGGAGATCTTTCACCAACGTCAATTCCAGGATGCTCTACTTCGCTCCAGATTTGGTCTTCAACGAGTAGTGTCTGCTGGACCCGCTGCGGGTTTGTAGCCTTGCTGTGTCTCTGTTACAGGGTTCCGTAACCTGCACGTGGACGACCAGATGTCCATAATCCAGTACTCTTGGATGGGTCTTATGGTTTTTGCCATGGGGTGGAGATCTTTCACCAACGTCAATTCCAGGATGCTCTACTTCGCTCCAGATTTGGTCTTCAACGAGTAAGTGCTCCCCAGGGGCAACATGGTGTTTGGCTCCCATGCGTCCTGGGCGAGGAATGGGGCAGCGAGGAAGGTGCTGCGGGCGGCCGCGCGGGCTGCGCGGAACAACCTGCTGTGGGCTCACCCGGCCAGCTCCAGGGGTGCTGCTGGGTCCGCAGAGCAGCCCGGCAGCAGGGCCAGGAGCAGCCCGGGAGCTGCAGAGCTACTGCCCTTCCCCCC